TCGAGACCCCGAAAGGGCTGAGGTTCAGGTACCCCACTCATAAACAGATGATGGCCTCCCTATCACGCCAATATTCACAGCCTGTAACTTTGTCCTGGGGCTGGATGGGTTGGCTTGCCTATGGATTGTCATGGTTGCTCTCCACACTTCCTTTTAAAGGCGTGCCACCTTGCAAAGCAGAATTAATGATTTACCAGGCAAAAAAAAGAGGAAGCTCAAGTGATCAGGGCAGTCAACATAGGAGATGGGAAAGCTGGGCCCTAGCTGCTGGTCCAAGCAGTGTTTATGCATTGTGCTGCAGAGAGTCACCTGCGAAAACGCATCAGGCAGCGGGAATCAGAAACCCATGCTCCTCTTCCTCCACCAAAGGAAACCTCAACCCTGCAGAGAGAGCAGCCCTGTGTCAAAAAGGAAGGACACCTCCGCAAAACCAGCAGCCATCTGGGAGGTGAAAAACGGGTGTAAAATCCCTCAGGGTCAAGAAGGAAAACCTCTCGTTATCTCAGGAGAGGGCTTTAACCAAGGACCCGCAAAGGCAAAAAAGGGGACGTCCCCCCAGCTGCGCTCGTGGATGAGTACGGCGGGTAGACTAGCCTGGCTCTGAGCTGGGCTCGGGGCACGCGGGGCTGGCGTTCCCGCCTTCCCAAGCCAAGCTGCTCCTCTCTCGCAAGCAGGGGGCAGTTCCCACCTGGCTTAGGCGGGGAACTGCAGGGATCCAGGGACTCGTGGCACCCTACCGGCAAGGCAGGCATTGAGGGCACGTAGGTGCTTATATTCCACCCAAGCACCACTTCGGATGCTGAAATCCTGCTGCGTATCTGGCCTGAACTGTTGGACAGAATAAAAAACCACAACAAATGAACGGAATCAGATGAAAAGATACACCCATCACATTCATGGCCCTAATTGACATGCCATCATTTTAAATGACGGTTTTTTAGCTAATTTTTCAACATAACACCTTTTCTCTCACCTGAGCTTCTTTACATTAACATCAAAAATATGTTTCTCTACATGTATATATGATGGAACCTATATCTCTTTCTACAGTTCTTGTGTGTTTAAGTCCAGTTTTTCTTTAAAAGCTCAAGGAGAAAATCACGTGCTGGACTGCAAGACCCCAGAGTTGAGCATGGCTAACCTGCACCTTAGGTTGCGTGCCCAAGGAAGGAACCCACTACTGCCAGACAAACGTGGTTATTTCCCCGCCGGGGACATCACATTTAATGCTCCCTATGTCAAATTCAAAAGTCACAAGGCATGCTAGTCCACTGCCAAGCCACTGTGTCGTTCTGCAGCTAAAACAGAAAAAACAAAACGAAGCCATTAAGTTGTCAGTCAGAAAGCATATATTATACTAAGCACCACGAAATTGCAGAGATGAGCTGGTTCTCCTCTTATTTCTTTTGTAATGTGATTAAGATGTTATCAGGCCAAAGTACAATATTGTGGTATCCTGACCTACGCGAAAATCTTTGAAAGCTGCATTTATTTGCCACCAGAACCACAAGCTAATAATAAAGCCTTCGTACAGGCAGTTTCATTCTGTTGCTTTTTCTAAGTTTTGAACATGAACAAAACCATTAGGCTATGTATTGTCAGGGCATTAACGATCCCTAGACACCATTAACAGTGGACATCTAGCGACTGCTCAAATTTGAACTCCACCGGTTATATCCCCTTCCAGCTTGCACTTTGCTATGCTTCTTCCTTGTCTTCCTTATAATTTACGTTCTCCTGAAAAAAACATTGACTATATATAGAGCTGATTCAAAACAAATAAGTAACAAAGACATTTCAACCAAATTTCAGACCCGATGATAAGACCTAGGCCCGTACAATAGTCTAAAAGTACACGCTGTCCAACTTACTTGCTATGTAACATATGCACGTGACTAACTGTGATACTACCTTCCTAAACCATATACTTTTACTACGCATCCTCTAATAACCTATCATTCTGCAACATACTGGGGAATTACAGTGTGAAGGAGGAGAAGGCTACACAAGACCGACAATCCTGGTTGCTCAGGGAACCCGCGCGATGCACACAATTATGCTCAGGTCATACAAAGTGTGAATAAATGACAGCTGATCGGTTACTTAGGAAGGGCCATTTATTACGCTGTAATAAGGCTCGTATGCTGGGGATGGCAAAAGGGCCAAGCTGAAGACTGAGTGCTTCACTAAATTATATTAAAGTATGCTTTTCCATTGACATATCCAGAAAACTAGGAAAGAAAAAACAAAGTAAGAAAAAATCCAGTGCCCTGTGCCACCCTGGATTTCTTTCACCTGAAGGGAGGATCCCTGAAGCTGCATTTGAAACTTCAGTGTAGTCTTTAAGTTTCTCTAACAGCCTAGAAGGTTTTGCCTGTGTGCTTAATAATCATATGACTCAAAAGGTACAATCCGTTCACCAGACAGACACGTAAAAGCCACTGAGGGGTAGTATTTTGCACATCTTCTTCCATATGTACATTATAAATAACACGTGGCAGTAAATGGCATCACATGCATCCAAAATCAGGAGCTTCTGTTTATAGGAAACCTCAATAAACAACCAAATGGCTGCCGATAAGAAGCATCCTTTCCTTTTAAAGGCAGTCAGTGTTTATAGTCTAAGTTACTTTTATTTCTAACTGTGGAGAAACCGCTCCAGCGTTTGCCTCATCTGGCCAACCACTTCTGGTAACACCTGTCTTTTCACATTCTCGTTTTTATTCATTATTTATGTTTTTCTTTACACAGTACACCCATAGGACAATACATCTCCAGCGTGCTTACGGATTGGATCCAAAGCTCACTGGAGGCAACAGAATGACTTCACTGGCTCTGGAGCAAACCGTGGGCCCCAGCTCTGCAAGCGGGCTTCGAGCCTGAAGTGGGACTTACGCACGAGTTAGGCATCCCAGTCCAGAAGTGCAGTCTTAAAATCCCTAACCCTTTAGCTGCTCACGTTTTAACCAGTGAAGCTCTCCAGAAGCCTGAATTGTTTACAGATTTTTTTCCAGTATCTGTTTCATGAAAAAAACAAACAAACCCTCAGCTGTGATCTGTGCAATAAGGATCTGAACATAGGTCTCCCTCTCCCAAGTCTGGTCTCAACTACTGGCTTCAGAGCCATGAGCTATACATACATACATGTACATGTATGTATGTATGTATGTATGTATATAAAAATACACACATACACACATATTTTTTGCTCCCCCTTCTGGCCCCATGAATCTTGAATATTCATTTTTTCCTCTTTGTGGAAGCAGATGAGAAAAGGAGAATGATCCTGCCTCTAAAGCAACTTGTAGCCAGAGATCTGCAGCATTCTTCTGGGAGATGTGCAATGTGGATTTCTGCTGAGAAGAGGGCCCCAAAGTCTTGTCTTACGCTCTCCATTATGGCAGCATGTAGCTGGTCTCCAGATCCCTGGAGGCTTGTACTCTTAAGTCCCTGGGTTCATCGGAGGGAAGGCAACGTCTTCATTTTTTAACGGAGATGGTCAATGAAGGTGGCACATTATTGGATATAACACTAACTTAGGAAGAGACCAAATGCTGAAAATTTAACGTGATGACACTTCACAGACACAGGGCTTACCAACCATGTTAACTGGGAACCGTGTACGGTATTTTACATTCCTTTACATGCACCCCTTAAAGGTGTGCTCTTTAACTGATTTAGCTCACTGATTGTATTTCATAGCAGTCAGAACCTGAAGTTACCAATCTCTGACCTACCATATCTCCATTTTAAGTGACTTAGTGTAGGTCTCAGCCCATACATAAAGTTTCTTCTTCAGGATAACTTTTGCTGTTTCTTCCTTCTAATACAGTAATATGACAAGCCTTATGCATGCAACACATTCGGTTTGAGGGATCACATTTTGTTACAATAGATCAATTAACACAGGAAAACAGAAAGAAAACCCCTTCCAATCAAACGTGGTTATTTATTTTGGAGAGACAGAGACAGAGACAGAAAAAGACTCCGATTGACCAAAAGTATAAAAGCTGTCCATTTTCCGCAAGTGGAAATCCTCCCTTTCTGGATAATGCTAAAACTAACCCCAGCCAGAAGTGATTTCTACTCTGGAAATACAAGATCATTTCACTTTGAAACGTGCCAGATCACTGCAAATAGTAATTTCTCCAGAACAATGCCCCAGACGAGTCCCCTACCCATCCCCTGGCACCTTTGTTTGGCGGCGAGACAAAGACAGGACTTTCACACCAGATACACGCTGCAAAATCCCGCTCCGATTGCCACCGCAGCTATGAACACCGGCACTGAGGATCATCCGGCCGTTGTTTCCTTCGACTGCCTTTAGCACCGTGTCCCCTCGCACGTTAAGCGCGTCCCCCCAGCCCGCTGGGACGCAGGCACGCGGCCGTCGTCCCGTCGCCTCCGTGCGCCTGCCCACGGCATTACCTCTGGGCAGGCGAGGCTGCCACTCATCCCAGGCTGCTCTGGAACCCCGCCCCAGCCCCAAAAA